ATTTATTTAAATCCCACCTGGCAGGGGGAATCTCTGATCCTGTTGGGACTGTGAGGCTCGAGGAAATCCCAGCAGACACTAAACAGGCTTTTAAAAATGACAAGTTCCTCTGCTTCAGCACTAATATCTCTGCTGAGCTTTTGTGTCCTTAAACCTGAAGAAGCCCAAAGTCAATTATTTCTCTGCGTCATTGAGCGCAGTGGAAACATTTTGTTTTTCTGTGTTTGCTCTTTCTACCTTGCCTTTATTTTCATAGACATTTTTGTAGATTTGGTAAAGAAAGTTGCCTGAATAAAAAAAAAATCAACCCTTCTCAACACGACACCAAGGACTAAATGATGGCTTGAATGTGACACTGTAATTTAAATCTCACTCTGGAATGAGACAGAGAGGAGAAAGTTATTTTGGCAGCCCTTGCAATCCTTCAAAAGTTAACCCCCCTGGGTTTTACCTCTATTGCTTCAAAAGTGCACCCCTGCTACGTTGCCGTGAAGCTAGACACCACTTTAAGGTCATTTTCCCCATGTCTAATTTTACCGTTGGGTACGCTCGACTAGAGTATATAAGAGCAGCCATCATTTTAAACACTTGTTTCAGTCGCTATTTTTCCCTCAGTTTATGTGCCTCCATTCTGAGGTGATGGACTGCTAATGAACAGACAGGCAGATGCATTTGAGTGAGGTCTTATGAGCTCTTTGCAGAGGCTCCATCTTTTTCACCATATTACTTTGCCAGTCCCCAATTGGAGGGCAGGTGGGTCACGTTCCCAGTCATGCTCATGGGTGACAAATGAGCCACAACGTCAAGTGTATCAGATCATCTCAGGCAGCACAAAAGATCCCTGCCTTCCATCAGGCGACTGTTTGATTGACACTGCCGAGGCCAAACGCAAGCTAATGAGCTGTAATGAAGGACAAAGCACGGCTGTGTCAGCAATAGAGCTAAACGTAGTGTCAGCTTTATAATAAAGTGAAAGAGTAGCCTGTTGATTTAGGGCTTATCACTTCTACAGTACATGTGATTGTTGGCTACGGGAGGCCAATCAACAGACCCAGGCTGGAGAAAACAAAGCCTTGTGCCTTTTGTGTTAGATTGCTGTGGAAAGAACAATGCACCATACTGTTATCACATGTTTCACCCGTATTAGGCGGAGACCACCTGCAACAAGAGCTGTTCCAACTCCATCACCTCATGTGGGAGCCGGTCGGGGTCTCATATACAACCCTCAAATGCAACATTTGCCAACCTTATTATTTTATATACACTTTAAACTTTCTGACCCCCGAACAAAAGGATAGATGACAAACATAAAAGTGAGCAGACATAAATGCACGCCCTGTTGTTGGGCTAGGCAGAAGCCTAAGGCTTCTGCCTACAATTGAAGAGCATTCTTCACACCTGTCTGAAGGGATAAGTGGGACTGTCACTGGCAGAGCTAATCTGCTGCAGCGCTCAGTCACACTCAATCCCCCAGTGGTTCTCCACTCTTGTCCTTGAATGTCTGCTGGTGTTGGAAGCAAACTCGCACCACTGATCAGACTAACCATGAAGCAAAACATGTCAATAATTGGCTGCAGCGTCTCCTTGACGGACAGCAAGCTTGTCTCAGCATTTTTTTTTTTTTTTTACTTTTTTGTGTGTGGCCGAAACAAAATCCACCCAAGGAGAACATTTGTGCCATCTGTGTTGGTCTTTATCTAATAATGTGCCATTCAAAGCTGTGTTTGTGTAAACATTAGGCTGGCAGTCAAGAAGAGATGTGAATGCAATCAAAGAAGAGCTTTGTCTTCTCAACCATCGACACTGAGCCAGACGAGAGAGAGAGAGAGATAACTTTGTGGAGAGCTATCATCGACTGAAGACTATTATAACTTGGAAAGCTTTTCAGAATGTGGTCCCACTGATGTGTAGTCACTCCTCTATTATTCAGTGGTGAAGATGACTCTCAAATATGCAGTATTTACTCTGGCTTACTGAATACTTTGAGTTCCTCAAACAGAACGATGTTTATTCTATAACAACACGGTGGCTGCAGCAGAGATGACAAGTGTGTAATGATGTAATGTTCACAAACTGTCAAAAGACAGTTCTTATGTGTGTATTAGAGGTGTGAGTACATAGCTGTATATTTACTATATAGCTATAATATTGTACATTTATTTTTATATATTGTATATGTATGCAAATATATATACAGTATATAGATATATTTATATGTGTATATGTAGTATATGTTTAATCCTAAAAATGTACAATCAAGTGTAGTTTAAAGGACAGACTGAACCATCATATCTTAGATAAATAGTTCTATATATCTATATATAAATCTATATACAGTATTATCTGTTTATTCTTTCCATTTGTTTTGTCTAATACATTGTGAAGGACTCTCTGCCTCCATTATACTGCCTGTCCTTCACGGCTCAGGTTGAAAGAATATGTTTCATTTAATCAGTTGAGAAAACATGAAAACTCAAATATACTGTAAAATTTAAAGATATCCAAGTGACATAATTGAGAACATTAAGAACAAACCTGTTATTTTTTTAAAGTCTTTGTAGTGTGATGTAAGGCTCTGGTTAAGTTGACTGGGGAAACGACCAGAATCAAAGGGTATCACAGACAATGTTACAGAGTGAAATGGCTTAGTATCAAAGCGATGGAATGCAATTATTTCCTAAGCCATTAATGGTCTTGTAAGGAGTGTGAAAAGTAGGTCAGGAAAAAATGGGACGTTTTTAATACATTTCCACCTGAATCTCAAAGGGTCAGTCGACACCTGTTATTGTAAATGTAAAATCAAAGCCAGGACTCGGCCATTTGAATTCACATGAATGTTAATGACTCTTTCTATGAATATTGTAGTTCTTATTAATATACTGTATGTGCCATTAGGTTCCGTTCATTTCCACATATATCCATGTCTCAGCAGCGGTGTTTCAGTTTATAATGGCTTTTCATTAAATTGGCTCTCCGTGCGCCGGAGATTAAAACATGGCTGAATGTCACTTAAACTGACGTGTTGTCAAAGCTTTTTTCATGCATCGAGCTGTAGATGCTTGACCCCCTCCGCCCACCTACCCACCCACCCACCCATCTACAACTAATAGCCATGAGTTCACATTCACACAGCCTTATGTAAATGAAACTGAGAGAATTTTGTTGTTGTTGGCAACAGTGTAGGTTTCAATGAAACTTGGTTGTATGCTATAGTCAAATGCCCAACTTTTATGGTAATGATATGGCACAGGGACCAAAACATCATGGCAGTATGGACTCGGAAATTTGAGTAACATTATTCATTTTCTAAATTAGATTGTTGTAATTTCAGCACTTGATCCAAATAAGATTACTTTTTTATATTAGTCAAGCCTTTATAATCACCATGGTGCCAGAGACAATGGTATTGCATGTGTGTTTCTTAACTGACTATTGATATGGGAAATAAAAACACTGATATGACGAGGTTAACTTAATCCAATATGACCAATAGTAAATGCCTGTTTCATTATCACTTGGTTTTTTGCAGATGTTTTGTGTGACTGTGAAGGGTGTAAATGTCAAGCATGAAATGATGACTTTAAGAAGGAGAGATGTGGCAGTAGAAATGAGTAACATGGAAAGTGAGTGATGTGTTTTCAGAATATTCCCCATTGAATGGCTCAGACTCAGAGGCGATGAGGGGAAGGCCTTTGGCAACAATCTGTTTCAGCAGTTGAAAAATTGCTTCTTTCTGAAAGGTTTTTGCACATGTGATACAGTCGCGCCACGAGAATTTATAGGGCATGTTAAAAATGTGGCGTCTTTCTCCGTCTGTAATGTAGAACATTTCATGGGCAGTGAATTTTTACCTGTGTGTTTGATGGTCTCATTTCTGTTTTGAGCAACAGACTCTATGTCTATGTCTTCTTCACCCTTCACACATGAACCACACACTAGATAATATTACATTTAAATATTCAAGAAAAAAGAAAAACTACACACTTAAATTAAAGTCAAAATAAGTCCAGATCCATATTTTGAAATGTTCTGACATTTCCAAATATTCCCCCTGAGAAATTCTGAATTCCAAATACCAAATGATTATACCGGGTGTTGAGACCTCGAAATCCATCTTAGAGTTATATGTATGCAAATTGAATAAATGCTAGGCATTTGAATAAGTGTTGGTTAACAAGGACTGTGTCGTCCAACCTCTCCATCAAGCAGTGAAAATAGAGTTTTAATGATCCGTTAGATGTGTTGGATCCACTGAAATAGCATAATTTATTTTTAGCTCACAGACTTTAACATAATCAAAACGTTCCATGAGGAAAAAATAATTGTTTCAACACTTGACTCTAGTCATTGTCAGGGTGTTAAAATCCATATTTACATACACACTGTATGGTTTGATGTAAAAAAAAAATACAAATAGATTAGTTTTTAAGTGATTTATTTTAACTTTAATATTGTAAATATTGATTCTTCACCATTGAACTGAGCCTGCCCCTCCCCCCACATTGCCACTTTTTCAGCTGTGTGTTGAATGTTTGATGAATTTCTGCATGGTAAAACTTTCAGCCAAAGTAAATATGGACCACAAGTGAACAAAAAGTAAACATTAGGGAAACAAACACCTAGAACAACCATACAATAAATTCCTCTGTTTCTTGAACTATGGCCATCTGGTTTTGCAGCTAAGACTCAGTTTCTACATTTGTGTCCATAATGTAATGATTTCCAAATCACGTGCCATATCCTTTGAAGATTGTAATTAGCAGCGACCGCTGTTTTCTCAGATGTTGTTTATCTACATGTTTTCCTGTAGAAAATATTTCTGCCTAAACCTGATAAGTAACCGTGCCATGGAATTATAAACAATTAATAATTCAACCATCTCTTCAAAGGAGTATATATATTCTCGACTCAGATATACAAGCTTTGTTATCATAAAACATGGTTGCTCAGTGGTTGCTTATGCTCATTTTGTGCTAATCGCATCTCTGTCTCTCCTGCAGCTAATCCCACTGGCTCCGGACCAAAGGGTTTTCCGGGCACGTCAGAGGTTTTCAGGGAATCCAGCAGCACAACAGGGATGGTGGTCGGCATCGTAGCAGCAGCAGCACTGTGCATTTTGATCCTGCTCTATGCCATGTACAAATACCGCAACAGGGACGAAGGCTCCTACCACGTGGACGAGACTCGCAACTACATTAGCAACTCGGCGCAGTCCAACGGCACCATTGTCAAAGAGAAACCAGTCAACACCGCAAAGACGTCCGGCAAGAACAAGAAGAACAAGGACAAGGAGTACTACGTGTAATGGTCCACACCTTGGTCTTCACCAGACCGCTTTGAACTCCCTTTGGACAACGACAAATCAGGACATAAACACGTGTACAGTATAATAACAAAGGCAAGCACTACGAAGTAACTTTTCCAAAAAACAATCACTACTAAAGTAATTATAAAAAAATATTTGAGAGAAATAGAAATAGAAAGAAATAGAAAGAGACTAATACACTGGAGATGGAGAATGGTCGAACTCAGACTCAATATGAAATGGATGGAAAACATATCTGATATGTCAACAAAATGACATTAATGCAGCAGTGACTCGGGATAACACGATATAAAATCCCATGTTTCTGATAAACGGAGGAGCACAGATGCACCTTGTCGAGAAAGGTAAAGCATTTCAGACCAGACATTTTCATTAACATTGCCTGTGTTTGTGTTGCTGGAACTTTTTCCAGGGAAAATGACACGATGCATCAATAAAACATACATAAACACGCCAAATATTTAAAGCTGGGGACAAAGGAGGGAAGAACGGGCAGTGGTGAAGACAAAGAGATGAAAATAAACGACAGAAATTTTTGCAGAATCAGCCAAAGCACCTACTGAGGAGGACAGTATGGCCAATGTTTGGAGAAGAGATTGGACGTCAGTTTCTCTTGGAAAACTCAATTAATTCTGTCCAATGTGCCAGTATCAAATCTGGAGGCCTTGGTTTTCACATCACGTGACCTTTAGAGGAGTGAGTGTCCTCAGAGTGCTGAGGAAAGGAGTGGCTAACGTCATCATTTTGGAGCCATGCACGCAGAGTTATCTAATTACAGTACATATGTTTATATACAGTACAACCACATCTATATGTGCTTTCTGGACTGTGACAAAGTGGTGTTTTATAGCCTGTTGTATAGAAGATGCAAACTATAACTGCTCCATTTTTGGAATAAAACAAAGAAAAAAAACATGGACAAAAAGAAGACATAAGTGTTATTAAATGTTGCTAGTCATAAACTTTTACAAAGATGTTTGTTTTTCTTCAGTTGAATAACGACTTCAGTTGCTTCTCTTTTTATATGTGTTTCTTTATGGGGGTTTTTTTTATATACAAATGTCAAAGATGAACAAACCTGGACCAGTCATAGCTTAACCATTCCCTGAATGTGCTGAAGGCATCACAAGTCAGTGACATTATAATTTGCTTTGCATAAGTCCGCTGAGGATGCTGGTAGAATCACTGCCTTCTTCCTGAGTCCCCAATGTGTGCAAGCAAGGAAATACGTGATTTAAGCAACAATAGTTGGTGACAATGATGGAGAATATAGATGAAGTCGCCATGTGTGTTAAATGCATTGTAAGATTGTCAAACGTGTGCTTCGGCTAAAACAAAACCAGGGGAGAGAGATGTTCAAAATCATCTCCACTTCTGCCGCTCTGTGTTTGTTCCTTCACTCTGTCCATCACTTCTGCTTCTCTCAGCAAGAGAAACATGACTTGAACTATAAATACTGATTATTAATTACATTTGTTTGTTCCTGCTTCATTTTCTCTACTGTGTTAGTTCTTTTCATGTTTAATTGTTACTCTGACTTCTTGTACCCGGGGGGAGGGAGGGTAAGAGCGTTATTATAAAAAGAACTAGTTTTGAAAATTCAAGTGAATATAAAAAAAAAATGCCTACGTGAATTTAAAATCAGACTATTGAGAACGTGTACCAGAGCAACATGCAGGATTTGTGGTTTTCATCTGTCGTCATGCATACAACCTTTTCATTAAAGGAGTAACCCAGCAATTTATAAACACAATTTTATAATGTCTATTTTTTTGGATGTACTCTGAGTCACAGTTGCTGGTCTGTGTGTTCTATCTTTATCTTTTATCCAGGTAAAAGAGTGGTCATTTCTCATGCCTCTTAGCAGGAAGTTCACAGGTTTGCTGGTTTGAGGTTGATTGTTTTTCATGTGTGTGCATGGGTTATCTCCAATGTCAAGCTGATACGACTTTCAATTTGAATAATCACACAGTGGTTTGATTAATTTAGATCACAATCATGATGAATCAGGATTTATTGCTCTAAATAGAAAGTCAAATTACAGCAGGTAAATGTATGTGATTCACACTTGTTTTTCTTTGTGACTAAAGCAAATTATGGCATGATGTATGTGATTCACACTTGTGACACTCTTTGTGACTAAAGCAAATTATGGCATTGATTATGTGGAGAAATGTGATAAAAACGATAAATATGTGTAAGGATAACTGAAAGTTTTTCTCCATGTAGTCTGTAGATTTGAGTCATTACTGCATGTGGTTACTGCCCTGCAAGTCTGAAATAATTTTTATGAGACTTTGGGGATCAGATATGAGCGTAAATTACTTTAAAAATATACTTTTTAGTCTGTATGTAACCACAAATAAATCTATTTTTACATTGTTAACGGCGGTATACACCTGACATGAAGGTATGTGAAAAAACATGACCTGAATTTCTCCGTAGTTCCACCTCAGCTTCAGAACCTTGTTTGCATTTCAGTTTGGTGTGAAGACTGTAACGGTGGGACAAAGCACACGCAGCAGACAGATGGTCTCTCCAGCGAGGCTGCCACACTGACACAGCTCTTCATCAGCCGCTTAAGCAATTTTCTAATGTAATAATGTGTTTTGAGTGACATGTTACAGATCTGCATATGGAAACACCGGAGTCAAGATGGCCGAGTGTTTCTCAAGGACACACAAGCACTGAGAAAGGTTGTGATATGGGAATGAGATTCAATGTAATACAATATTTCAGTGACGATGGCAGGTTTTACATAGAATCATCTGTTTTGTTTAGTCTTTTCATCCAGTGATTGGATGTTTTGAGCCGCCAATTAATAGATATTTATTACTTTGCTTAATTTTTTAGTTACTCATTCAAATAAAATAAAACTTAAATATGTTTTTTAAACAGAATTCATTTAACTGTCACTAAAGTATTTATTTCCATGTAACCTTTGATAAGGAGGAGACTTACAAAAGAAGACTTAATAGATTAATGTCCTGTAAGTCTTTAATCAATGTTGGCTGTGGCACAACAGATTCCACTGGGTCACATTTCAGAAACCCACCGGTCAATGCAACTGATTAACACCTTATTCTAAGTCCAATGGCCAGAAATCGACAGACGCCTTTGGCGGGTAACTGATTTGCAAAAAGAAGAGGCCTCTCATTGGCTGGTGACTCAGTGTTAGGTTTGCCACTAACTGTTTGTTTGTGATAGGGATAAAAAAATACCATATATAATGTGTTATTACAATTTAAAAGAAAACATTTTTAATATTAAATAGACCATATACTGTATAATGCTGTACATTAGTAACAGAAAATAATTTGTTAATACATTTCAAGTTACATTTATTTGGAATAAATCAAAGTGAATGACACAGATGAAATAACTAAGTTTAAAAACTAAAGTATCATCAATTCATAGTCCTTAAAAACTAAAATGTAACAGGATGTCACTCCCTTATGGGTCAAACACATTTGACATTTCCAACACTATTTAATAAATGACCTTTTGACTTTTTATTTGTACAAGTGACTTAACAACTTGTTAAACTTAAAATACAAAATAAAGTTAAATATTAAATGTCAACAATTTTAATAAACCACCATTGCTCTGGAAGACAGTGAAAGACATTTGTTTTAGCTTCAGGTATCCAGTACACGTTGGAGCTTTTATTCTGACATATATGAAATATCTAAGTTATTTATCTTCCCCATTGGAGCTTTTATTCTGACATATATAAAATATCTAAGTTATTTATCTTCCCCATGACGATTTTCCCCACCAAGATTATTATCCTGACCTCCACATTCTGCACCACAGACAAAAAATACTCTTCCCTAGAGAGGATCTACACCTAATACTACATGATCACCGACTTCCCTGATCTCTACATTAGAAGCTAAATCCTAGTCATTTCATCTTGTTCCGCCCTGTCTTTTAGTACTGATGTCTCTGAACCTTACATTACAACAACAGTTGTAATGTAACATCACTGTGGTAATGTTACATCACCACAGTGTTTTTGCTATGATCCCTGAAGATACATGTAACTAATTTTAAAGTCCTCTGCCTTACTCTCCCTAAGAGCATATCAAAACTCTATCCAGATTTAACTACGCTGTCTGTCTCGAACTACTTCACATCTGTGGTCTTCCGCAGGATACAATTCACTCTTGTCTTTTCTTGCAATTCTTATTTAATTATTTTAACAAGCAAACCATCTGTGCTAACTTGGCCATTCATTACCATTTGATACCATTTCACAGGCATTCCAAGATTTCTTTGTACAGCGATTGAATCCTAATTGTTGTTAATGTTGGAGAGCATCTTTTTCTGGATCCAGTACTTGATTGATGTTTTTGGCAGGCACTGTTTTGGAGCTTAATTGACTCATTTGGAAGAACAAAAAAATCAGTTGTAAATCCCTTTAAGTAAGAAAGAGTAGAAAGCACACTTTGTAAATCATGTTTAATTTAAGTATTTGTACTCTTCGTTGTAAGTTCATTGTGATGTGACTTTGTGTAGACAACTTGGGAGAAAAATACTAAGAGTGGGATTTGTTCAGCAACTATTCCTTTATACAGTTGTTACAGTTGAGTTGGTGATATTCTGTTATCTTTGAATCGATGTCAGACCCTCCTGAAGTCAGAGCATTGGTTGCAAAGATGTAATTTTGCACTGGGGAAACTGCAGACCTTCGACCTCCTCTTTGTTGTTTTGACAGAAAGATGATTTTATTGCAGTGTTCAGATTTGGGACGCGTAACGTCTACACTCGTCTCTCAGTCCTGCATGAGTATGTATGCCTGAAGGGTTAGTTTCTCACTTTCCCATGCCCTGCAGTGTATGTTCCCTCTAGGTTTCCTGTAAGTCCTTACACTGTGTCTAGATCAGTGAGGAAATAAGCTTTTTTCTTTTCAGCCTCGCTCTGTGGTGCTGAGGGTGAACGCATAATGAAATCAAATAGTATGCTGTCACTATGATGTCACTGGGGATTTCTATTGACTGCATGTTGCACTAGGCTGGTCCAGGCTTTTGCTTTGGGGCATCAGTGTTACTGGGAATGTGTAACTGTGTACTCCAAGTTATTTTATTTTGGAACTATTCTTAGGTAGGACCAGTGTGTTGTCATCTGGGGATCTGTGAAACACAGAGCTGGTGGCATTGCTGCAGGGATGACAGCATTTTTGATACGTTTGCCCTCATCTCAGACAGCGTCTTCTCAAGGGCACAAATGAGTATAATTGGGCTACATGGGAATCAAGTGGGCATGGCTTCAAACTGAGCCAATTATGGTGGCCAGTTGCCTACCCTTACTCACAACAGTTACTGCGCAACACACAGTTGGACCTATAGACATATAACGGTAAATATTACGATTTTGCATATTTTGGACTGTCTCATAAAAAATAAAACCTAGGAGAAACATTTATTTTCACAATTATAATTATTTTTAATAATTATGTTACAGCTTTTTGAAAGTCACAGTGGGCGCTAGAGCCAGGCCCAGCAGTCATTAGGTCGGTAGGGCAGAGTACACCAAGTAGAGTTCACCTGTCCATCACTGAACAACATCTGAGACAAACTACCATTACCACTAAATCTAAGGTCATTTGTCGGTTTATAGTATAATTGAGAGAACTGGAGAAAATAAAGATGTAAAAAGACAAAAAAAAATCTTTGAACTGAGTTAACGAGGGCAAGAATTTATTTATATCAGCCCCTGTTGGACAACATGTTACTGGGTTTAAGGATGTCATCTGTAACAAAACACTCGTGCTGCACAATGCTAATTTGCTAATATTATAATGTTAGTGTTAATTTGAATGGCCATCTGTTTAAATTAAGTATTTTGTTTCATGTTAAATTCTTACTCTTACAATTATAGACAGTTTTCACACAATGTCCCCAGATGGCTTTTTATGTTTTGTTTGCTTAAGAAAGCATAATGCCATATTGTAATGTTGTTTACCTCAATTTTGCTCACTGTTGGTGGATTGTGCACTTTTATTATTTTCTCCTCCCTCCTGGGACAACACAGAAAAAGCTTCATACAAATTCAGGGAATAATGAAATAACAATAGCAGCTCATGCAGCTTTATTTCAGCATCCATCCTCAACACCATTAGATGAGGAAAAAAACTCATGAGGTTAGAAGGTATTTTTAGCACAATCTTTATCCTTTTTCGCCCGTCCTCCCTCTCCTGCTTCTCTGGTGCTCGCACACAATGTCTTCCTTCCCCGTCTTTTACATTCATCTACTGCCATTTCCCATCACTCACTCATGCTCTTAGCGTCTATCTCAGCTGGATATACCAGATGTCCCTTTAATTCCACACTATAATGTAATTCGCCTTCTCTAAAATCACCCATTTTCCCATTTTCATGCCCTTTCCTCGAACTTGAGACACGTCTAGCGGATTCTATTTCACAGCAGTACACCCGACTACATTGGTTTTCAATTCATTTATTCAGTATTTGTTTTGAAGCCCCATGCTGCTTTGCTATGAATCAACATTGCCTAATAGATACTACTTTCCCTGACCAGGTTAAAGTAGATGTAATTACACGTGGATCTGAAAGTCTAATGCAATATAAATTTCCTAAATCGAATGAAAATGAATCATCCCTCAATGGTTTATTGCGGGAAAAGTGTTTAGTAGCGCAAGATTACAGAGGAGCATTTATCTTATCTTATCTAAAACAAAAGTGTACTTACATTGAAGGCTCAGTGCCCCTGTAAGGATCATTTACTGTGTCAGCCCAAAACAGAACAACTTCTAATTGTATTCCATGCTTGGCTTGAGGCTGCACACAATCCCAGTTTGTATTGTAATTTCATATATGATTAATTTTGTGTTATTTTTTCCCTGTATTGCTTCAGAGTTTTTTGTTTCCACACAATACAGTCAACATTTGAAATATATTTTTTAATTATTCTAAAAAGTTATTTTTAAGTTAGAAATTAGACATTTAACTAAGTACTGTACTGTAACAAATCTATGACCCTGGCCCTAAAAATAATATGTAATGATATAATATATAAATCAAAAAATAATATATAACTGCACAACATGCTTAGTATCCATGTCATGTATTCATTTAAAAAGGGTGTTATGTGTGTAAATCTGTGTAACCCATTTAATTTGCCCCACCTACTGTATAGTATTACCTGAACCGGGGTCATTATAGGACAGAATGGATATCATGTATATTAAGCCATGCTATGGTAGTTTTATTATTTTAATATGCATTACCGTAAGGAGATTAAACACCATGTGGATGGATGGCCCATCCATTAGCAACACTTATCCTTTGGTGTGGGGAGCCTGGCATCCCAGGTGACATTGTGCGTGAGTTCACTACAGCCTGGACAGGTTACAGGTCGAATGTAGGGCTGATATTTATAGAGACAAACAGCTATTCACGTTTACGCCACTGGTGATGTTAGGCTCCCTGAGGAGTTACCACAGAGGACCTGAGTGAACCACAGTGTGAAAACACAAGCTTCGGTTCAGAATTTATTACTGCTATAAAGTGTCTAGAACACTGTTAAGTAAACAGCCTTTCCTTCTGTTACCCAACAATATTTTAACATTACATTATTGGATGTTTATTTTCCTTGCGATATATAAAACAACAGAGCACATAAAAATACATGAAGCTGCAGAAACCCAGGCAGGTGAGCTCAGTGCCGCCTCCATTCTGTCAGCACTCAGCCCTGAGTGGAAGGGTTAAGACTGGAGCTCCAGGCCAAACCCAGCAGTCGAGAAACCCGCCCTCAGGAGAGTGAGTCAACATGGCAAGGGCACCAAACACATTCAGGATGCATAGGTGCCATTTATCATGGTTGACAACTGCACCTCTCAGTGCCATTTGGGTTTATTACCGGTACATTTCTCCCCACATAATGATGTTTTCCTTAGCACTTGTCCTCTGGGACCAGCCCGAATGAAAAACTGCAGGAGAAGCATCAAGGTGACAGTTTTTCCACCTCTTTTTGCTCTTTTATATGAAGTTTGTTTCAAAGGAAAAATGGAAAAAAAATACAGACAAAAAGTGGAGTTTTCCTATATTGCAGCTTGCTTTGAAATGCCATGCTGCTTTGGTGATGTAGGCCCAAAGGAAACTCTTCTTAATTGTCTGTAGAAGTTGTGCCCTCCGTTTGAGGGTTTATGACGACACAGGCACTTGTTATACACAAAAATAAAGTAACTTCTTCATATTTTATTATTATTATTATTATTATTATTATTATTATTATTATTATTATTATTATTATTAATACCATTTATTATACCCTTTTTATGGGAGCTTAAAACATATCACCCTAAATCATTAAAAATGGCCTTGAGCCATTCTAACGGCTCACCACAAAAGATTTTTCAACACTAATGAGATAGAAGAAATCCATTAAAGACAGATAGACAGTTCATTTTAATTTGTCATCTTTTAGAAATCTCATAATTGAAATTACAGCAAACTGAGGACTCAGTGACCCTGTTCCTTATTTCTTTTAAAATTGATAATTCAAGGGTGATCAATTATCAGTTAAATTTGCATCTTAGGCTCTATTTAATTATGAGGCTGCGTTAATGTTGTAGACACTACGTTAATTGCTGTAGACTCCCTCTTCATCTAGGTTGTCTCGTCTGAATGCTATAAACTCTTTAGTCCAGCCTCAGAAGAAGGAACTCATTAGCACTTTTTTCTCTTTGCGAGACTGCGTCGATCATTATTTTTGCTGCTGTGGAATTTGAGGTTTGTGGTGGTGGGAGTAAAAATGATGACGAACTGATTGATTTTTGTCAGTGGGTATGATCTTTGTTCACGGAATTAAATATGCTCTTTGAAAAGGTTTTTTTGTGTTATTCTTCTTCTGAGGTTCATCATAATGTGCAAATCAATATTTAATATCCTTGGATCAATGGTATGTGACATTTTATTTTGCATTGGCCCCATCAGTGTACCAGAGAAATAATATGGATGTGAATGGATATGAGGCCTTTTTTCCCTCTTTAACTGTCGTCATGTCACTAGATAGTCTTCATGACCTCAGGATAGTCTTTCATTACTGAAACATTAGTTTAGTTAAAAAGAAAAACACTCATTTTAAATATAATTTAATTTCTGTCTCTGTGTAATTTCTGGACAAGGAAATGTGACACAGGGAAATGTGACACAGGAATATGGCCCTATTTTATTCTAGACTGCTGCGCCTTTCGCAGCACTACAAAGACAGGAGCAAAATGAGATTCAGAATTGTTGTTTATCTACTATGTCATTTGCAAATGTCAGCCTTCCGACCTATTTGGATTTTTGGCCATCATTGTGATACTGCAATATTAACCAAACAAAATTTAATCTAAAGTTCGGATGGATTTTAGTTGGAAAATGCACTTCTAAAAACTACATTTCTATAAAAAGAAATAAAAAGAAATGCAGTGAATTTCAACAAAATGTGCAGTTTATTAATGCGTATAACTCTTTCATATCACCAACATATCACCACTTAACATACTACAATGATAAACTTAAATAAACTTTAGACATTGATTGTTTTCAGTGTTTGTGTATTCTTGTTTTAAGAAAGACTGCTTCGCATTTCTTAGCAGTCTGTTGTGAATATTGTCAGTTTCTACTTTTCATGATGTGAAGGAATATTATGTATGCTTCTCTTTTGTTATTCATGCAGAATGAGGTCACACTTGTCCTGGGAAATCCTTGGAGTTCCTGGAAAAGCTACTGGAACACATTGATCCTCCATCTTAGGCTTCTGGTGTACCACTATACAGTATACTTTGACTTTACAGTATACTTTGAATTTGTACACTTTACACTGACAGAGGTACATATTTTTCCAAAACATAGTCTCAGTGTTGATTATAGATGTTGTCCATGCATGCTTTTGCTAATGTACCTCAGGGTCTGGAATCACAACTTACAGCCGTCATCACAACTCCTTGTTGTATAGAAAATGTTGAAACTTTAGTAACATTTATTTACAGTGAAATGTTCAACTGTCTCATCATTTAAATTGCTTCTTGTTTGCTGCATAGCATGCAAGGGATGAAAGGAAAAGGATGTGGGTGCACTGAAGAGCGGCCATGTGCCCAGGAGTTCACATGAAATATAAGCTCTTGTTTCCTGTAGTTTTTATTGTACAGGACAAGGTCAGAATTTATTATTTATCCTGGGAAGGAAGTGCATTCTTGTGGTTGGTGCCTCCATAATTGAGTCATCACTAGGAACATAAAGGCAAGGCCATTTTCTATCTACGGTTTAATGGGAGGCTCTGCTTTGGTCTCTTGTCTTTAAACTAAGCAGTGCCGAGTGCAGACATGTTGTCAACACTGTCACCTTAATTATAGTGAGGTCTCCTGTGTTCACATGTGTGACTGCAGTTATCCTTACCTCTGTCAGTTGTGCAAAATGTAGCTACAGAAAAACAGTAACAAATATAATCTAGTTAGCTGTGTGGTTATTGATTTTGGGTCTTGATACAATATTTACATTTTCCACTAATCAGGTCCGCACTTGATCATAGCAGATTAAATTTATATCTGAATGAAGACGGAACCTTGATATCTAATTGATTTTTAAGATGGGAAACGTAATTGTTTTAATAAAAATAACACAGTGTCAAAATGACTTGAAGCGCAGTGAAATAAATTATATGAGCTCATTGTTAGGGCTTTTCACAGTCTAGTAGAATTTAATTCACCCTGAAATTAAATTAAGTAGCTGAATGTACTTCTCTCTGTTTGGTGTTTTTATATACTCTCTGTTTTCTAAAATATATCTAAATAATAGAAGTGCCTAAATCAATGGTTGAAAATTTAAGATCATTCGAAGAGAGATAATCTTTCATGTAAAGGCTATTTTTTAACTAAACTGCATTGATGTTTTAAGATTTTGGAAGGAATATGAACCTTAATTTTGAGTAAATAAAGTAAACAAGTCAGCCAACAGCTACTCCAAAACTGTGCTGCAATGCCCTGAGCTCCAGCACTAGACAACACTCCCACAAGAATACCAATTGTTTCACACCAAACAGACATGCATAGCAACTGACAGTTTGAGCTGTTTTGCCAGTAAAGATAACAGGATAGAGATAGATGGTGTAGATGATATTCAGGATGTTGAGGCAGAGGAAGCATGATGTAAACCAAGAGGATGATATGAGTTAGTTAACTTACTAAGATAAAAAGAGACTACATTCATATTATGTTATACCAGGCTGAGCTGTAAACTGTTGACATTTTTAATCTGAGAAGATCAAACTGTCGACTACTGCACGAGTAAAGCTGCAAGCCAATATCTGTCTAAGGAACCAATACACTTTCCAATAACGTAATGCACTTTCTCATTTTGACCACAGAGGGCGTAGTTTCCTCCAGAGCCATTTCGCACTAGCAGGAAACAAAAATGTCGGAAATGCGTAGGATTTGGCGTTTGACTTCGTGCTTACTTTCTCCAGAGATGTTCGTGACGGTAAGAACGTTTACTAAAACAATACTTGGCCATGAGGTGTGCGACAGATTGTTGTTTGTGTTGAAATAACTGATACTTCCCAAGCTGTGACTATGTGTAACTGTTTGTTGTGTTATGTAAACAAAACAGAGCTAAAGCGTTAATGGTGGCGGTGCACCCATTAACTGGTTACTTTGGACACATGTTTACTCTTTATATTTTTGTAGTTGCAAGGCTTCTGTGGTGTGCAAGACTTAGTTCTGTTTGTTTTACTATTATTTCGAGTTGCCATTGCTTTATATTGGAAAAACCTTGATCCTTTGCATGCATACAGAAATAATTGTGACCGCGTGGAACAGTAGTTTGAAATCAGTAGTTTGGTACTGTGCCTTGTCTTTTTCTTCAACGCAAATGACCTTGGCTTTTTTTACAGAAACGTTCAATATTTTGCCCATATCGACCTTTTTCATATGGTGCAAAGACAGTAACCCCACATTTATTTAGTACAATGTCACTTTTCTTGACTTCATATATTAAATTTAATATTATTTCAAGACTGCAATATATGGGTGAATAGAGGTTGCCCATGCTTTATTTCGAGCTACATGCCAATGAACTTTTGAGAAGAATTTTCCATAATATATAAATAATCCAGATATAAAAATATCCAGATATAAAAATATTAGGTTTAATGCTTCCAGTTAGAATGGCCCACCCATTGACCCAAATGGGTGTTTACAAAATATTTGAAAATGCAAAGGCCTCAGACTAAATTTGTTAATGTGTCATGAATTGTGTCATAATTTCTGTTTACTTTTAACTGTATTGTTTCAAGTAGCACGATCCAGGCTGAATATATGAACAAGTTATTGTTAATGAAACATCCTTGGCATTACACCCAAAATTAAGCTGTTGGTGTCATTGGCACTTGTCTCAGGATGAAGTTGAATTATATGTAAAAGTGTAGCTTTGTCATGGCAACAGTCATAGTGTACAAAAAACGTTTTTCTCGTTTGTTTTTAATAAACCTCTTAGGGTCTGCTGCTTTTTATATGTGGCGAATTCCAGTTGCCTTAGCTCTAGGCTACAAGGTGTTTCAATGTAGACACACCTTATAAAATGAGTGACAAGTGTGGGGGCAGGCAGTTGACCAGCCGAGGGGGAGAAAAAGGGCAGGATTGGCAATACATTTTTACCTCAAAGCAAAAACACCCATGCTTAAACTTCAATGTGGGAACTACTGTGAGAAAATATTTTTTTTCAAAGATACTGTCTTTATCGCTCTTCTATTATTTTTTAAAACATCCTCTGCAAATCTAGCCTGAGTTTTAATTAGCTAGTAACTCTGCTTAATGTACCCTTTCTGTCTCAGCCATCAAACATTTCTTAAATTGGCCGACTGGGTGAACAGAAGAAACCGAAAGCTGCAAGTGAGAGTGAATCTGTCATTGACTCTGCAGTCAGTGACCTCACATTCACTTATGAACCACACAAGTTATTTGAAGTAAGGCCACTTAGTTGTTTTTCCCCCTTTAATTTTTTTTTTTTTTTTTTTTGGCGATCGTCATCCCTGCATTGGATTCTGTGGGACTTGCTATTGATCTGTTACCACGTCTTCCTAGTGAACCCCAGAGCTGGTTTCTCTGGCTGAAAAGTCTACACAAAGTACCTATGTTTTACAGCTCAAGGACAGTTGCTGTGTTTCACAGTTGTCTAAAAGCAAGTCACATCAACACTACAAAGGCATCATTAAAGATGCAGTACGAGCACTGTATTGCTGTGATACGTAGGAACTGTTTGCAGTTGTCAGGGTTTTTTGTGTTACTCAAGGGTGCAAGTATTATCTGATCTGAAAGAAAACCACAAAACACTGGCACCTCTGTGTTTTTTTTTTCTCAATCTTGTTTCTTTTTCCAGTAAAATATTTTTTTCTCTTGTGGTGAAGAGAAACCTTGAGTCATCCTCACCTTGCATTTTACTGTAATATCTAAATGTAATGTAATCACCCTCATAGATTCACCTTTGGATTTGTGTGGTGCCAATAGTTGCCTCTTGTTTTGACCTACAGAGGTAGGTGGCTGAGGAGGGATAAATACAGTATGTGCACAACATACTAATTTGTATCTTGGTAATAGTATATGCCCTTTGGTGGCACAATGACAAGATCCTACATAGAACCAAAAAAACTTCATTAAACCCAGCTTGTTGTGTCAGGTTTACCTATAAGAAGGGACAATGGGAATAACTGTGATTAATGTTGACAATGCCTTTAATTACCACTATAGGCTTTTTTAAATTGCCTCTCATAGCTATTTTAAATGTATTAATTTTAAATATAACATACATAAAAAACACAGTTTTGGTGACGACAGAAAAGATAAAAATGTCAGAGACCAAAGTCGTCAGGACATTGACCTGCTGTCACATCTGTACAGTACAGTATGTGACATAACATGAATTCACCTTTTAGTAAAAATATACCCTAAATGAGAAAAAATATACCCTAAATAAGACAAAACCAATAGGTATATAATCAAGTATTGAGCATTAAGACGTGTTTCAGTAATGCTTGGCCGTTTTGTATTAGTAAGGTTAGTACAGATTCTTTTAACACATTTATATAGATGTTGTACAAATTCTTCCTGATTGAACAGATATTAGAGATGAGAAATTGAGGTTACAGTGTCATTGTGCCAGCTGCTGGGGAGTAACAGACTAGAGAGCAAGCTGTAGTGCCATCAGCAGTCGAAAAAAGTAATCTCTCAGAAGACGCTGAAACAAACTGTGCAAAACCACGCCTGCAAGCATTTTCAGGAGAGCACAACTCCTATCAATTTCTCATGTTACCTACAAAAAGAACAAGAAGACCTCAAAGCCAAGCCGTTGGGTTTTCAGGGTCCTGATCCTGATACTCAATCTCATGGCCTCCCAGATTATTCCATTTCCATCAGATTTATTTTAATGCATTTTCACATTTATATCTATTTATATCAAAGCTGTATCTCAGAGTTAGTTTTCTCTTCTGAAGGCTTTATTTTTAAAAGTGAAGTGTTTTATATGAAACAGAAAATTGTCTTTTAGTTTGGTGAATTGTCTGTGAATTGTGCTTAAATGTGTAATAATTTTGGTCAGATGAATGAGTGTTTAACTTGGTGGGCCACATATGCCAACTGTTGCCAGTGAAATAGGTCTGCTCTCTGTCGCTACAAAAATAATGTTCTATGGATTTGCATCTTTCTTGGCTGTATTTAAGATGGAATTAGAATGGATGCATGGTGAAATTGTTTTTCTTGTCAAAAAGTACTATCATCTCAGGGTTCATTTAATTTTTTTTAGCATTGTTTCTAGGTTGTGTGAACTGGGATTGTTTAGTTTCCTGACTAGGATCCTTGTGGCTGCAATACATTTATATTACAGCGGAGTCCACAGTGTTACAGTGCTGTGTTCGCAAGAGGACACAGTGGCATTAGGTTATTGGTTCCCATCATAGTGGTGCATTGCTGAGCAATTAAAAAGCCATCAACTGACTCTCATCTAATTACGTACAGTGTCATCTAACCTTGTTGTTGATATTGGATAAACTACTTATGTGTAAAATGAGAGAAAGTAAAACCATATTCCCATCACATCTTAAACTGGACTAAGGACATGTGCTGCCCTTTACCACTGTATCGTCATTATTTAAGCATAAATTATGATCAAGCAATGAGAAAAAAAGAAATTATGTTTACCCTCATTACGTTTTACCAAATAAAGTGAACAATACAGAGAATCTCCCATTTAAGGTGTGGATCAGTGAAGCCGGTTATATTGTTTTAATGAGATGTAACAAAAATAGGCTTTGTTGGTGCAGAGTCTTTGTAATTCAGTGTTCAGAATATTTGTTATTTTCCATCTTGAATGTTTTTTAATTTGCAGCAATTAAATTTGAACAATTGAATGACTTGTCATAATTTAGATTTCTAAGGAACAAATTATTACAGAGAGATAAAAGACTAGAGTTATATCCCTTTAACAAGCAGAATCGGTCATGAAGATGTAAGTTTATCACAAACCCCATTTCCAGATATTTTCTCTTTCTTTTCTTTCTTTCAAAATTTAATTCTGTTTGATAAACACAAACCAATCTAGTATTTAATGCCAGCACCTGAGTCCTTAACGTTGGATTAGAGGCAAATTAAGTGTCAGGTTCACATCTTTATTATTAAGCGGGTTTCTAAATTAGCAGATGAAGTTCTTCTAGGTTTGGAGTTCATCATTTGAATTCAAAGGACCATTCATACATTCCTAGGTGCATTAATCAGTCTTTTTAGTCCTCAGTTGGTTATGACTGACAACTTGAGCAAGTCTGTCCAGCAACATCGTCCTTTTTATTTTGGAACTAGGCAAAGCAATATCTTGCTGTATTAAATTTAAACTTTAATTTTCATTAAACATTAATTTTTCATACATTCCATAAGCACTCTATGGGATGGCTGAAGAACGTGACTTAATGTCTGGAAAGAACCTGCATTGCTTGAGTTCTTTACTGATGTTAACTGTTATTGGTACTTCCTTTCCCTCCGTCTGTTGAGACTGTATTATTTCTCTTCATGTCACCACCTTTAAAGTCCCAGTGCTGTTATCAGAGGCGGTGTGCTGATGGAGCAGCTAGGCTCCTGGCTGCTGTTGTGCTGCTGAATTACTTTAGTTTCACTGAATAATGAAGTAGAGTGTGTACCCAGTGTTCTAATTAAAACCCATGGTCATTCATCTATCTAACTGATACACCGCCTTGCAGTGTTATTCTGTCCCAAACGTGCCATTGCAGTCCATGTTCTCAGTTCTGAGACTGCAGTGAAGCAGAACAGCTCCACATGGAACATACCACTCACCACTCAGCCACCCACATATGGCACAAGAAAACAAACATGGAGATAAAAACAAATCACATCGTATTTTTGTTGCAAATACTTTCTCAGAAATCTCCCAAAAACTTGCATTTAAAGACAGTGTAACCATTGCTAAGTTGACTGTTTTCT